ATTAGGTACAATCACATTTAAATGCAAATCCTAAGTTGAAACAGTAACAATTCATTACTGGTCTTGGTGTCGGAAAAAAAGAAGGGTACTTCTATTGTTTTACACATGATCACCACTGACCTGTTTTAACTGAAACAGCAAAATCATGTGCTTATACGAAATAGTGTGCTTGTACAGAAAGAAGACGTGAGAATTTCTTGAGACAAAACATTGTATTTAGAGAATTGTGACACTAGCAGCACAAATCCTATACAGTGGTGCCCCGCAAGACGAATGCCTCGCAAGACGGAAAACCCGCTAGACGAAAGGGTTTTCCGTTTTTGAGTTGCTTCGCAGGACGAATTTCCCTATGGGCTTGCTTCGCAAGACGAAAATGTCTTGCGAGTCATGAGATTTTTTCGCTCCCCCCCCTTTATCTAAGCCGCTAAGCCTTTAATAGCCTTTTAGCAGCTAATCCGCTAAGCCTTTAAGCCTTTAATAGCCGCTAAACCGCTAATAGCGCTAATCCGTTAAGCCGCTAATAGGGTTGCTTCGCAAGACGAAAAAACCGCTAGACGAAGACACTCGCGGAACGGATTAATTTCGTCTTGCGAGGCACCACTGTATGTGTCTCAGGCTACTCAGAAGTAAGTCCCATTGAGTTTATTTGCCACTAAGCTGGTATAGGATTGCAGTCTATGTGCCTAAATAGAGTAACATTATAAATATAGTAACATGTGAAGTGGCAGAAATGTTGTATGTTTGCAGTTTCTAGAGGAAAGTTTTGAGACTGAAAACCTGATGGAAGAACAGGGCTTGGATAACTGAGGATGAAGTGCAGACGTCCTGCCCCTGTCCCTCACCAATTAAGACAAATATCAATCCTCCTGTATCCTTCCAAATGACAGTAGCTTCAAGGGCTATTACAAAAGGTAAGCTCTCTCCACTCCACCCCACCCAGTAATTTGGACACTGTGTAATACAGAGAGTTTTACTATTCCTTATCCGATACGAGAATGAGAAGCTCCTGTTCGAAGGCAGTTTTGATGACACCTATTGTTTAGAAAGGCCTAACCTTCTGCAGAATCCAGTATCAATGTTTGTAACAGAATCTGAACTATATGCCTGTAATTTACTGATCCAGAAAGATTCTGCAGACAACTACAGATAAGTTCCACTGTTATTAATGATTTATGCTTCCCTCCATGGTTTACAAGCTAGCAACATTAATGATATGCTTTCTTTTATCTTTGGGTGATAATTGCCCTCTCTCTCAGCTAGGCGATTAATTACATCTCATGCAGTTTACGACCCACCCCCCCATCCCGGAGTCAGTTGTGTCCATTTTGTCACCATCCTCTGTGAAAGTCATTATCCTTTCATAAAAGCCTTAGCTACTCTGAATAATAAACCCAACTTTTTAATCATGACCTTCTTGCTTATAACATCACATCTGACTTCTGCTCCCAGCATGGGGGTTGGTTCAGGCCATTTCTGGGACGTTCCAAAAGGCTAAGACACAGAAGTAGCCCCTGAGCTTGGGCTCAAACCTACCTCTCAACAACTCCCACTTGTCTCTGGCCTTGTCTTTATAGCTGTCTCACCTATCATTCCAATATTTTACACGAAAGGGGTCCATCTGGAATCATCGTGTACCAGCCAAGCTGCCTTTTCAACTGAGCAGTAATCACTGAAGCACACATACTGAAGCACCTCAGTTCAGAATATAGCTTAACCAGCTTTCTGGATGGTAAGGCACACAGCACATGGGAGCACACACCCAGCAGACTTTTCAGAGAATGGAGAATACTCTTTCAAAGTATTTTCCAGGGAGAGGGTGTCTAAAGATTTTGAAGATTTGCAGGGTAAGTACTGAGAAACGAGACTTGGGTCCTCTAAAGACAGGTACACCTCATATAATTTTTCCTCAGGACCTCCATCTACTGAAATTAATTGGACATCCTGAACTCCTAACATTTGGCACTTGGAGTCTCTACCTGTCCCCAATAATCCAGTTGAAAGAGGCACCACTTTACAAGTTAGCAAGAAGCCATGTGGAAAAGGAGGGTTGTTGTCTGCCCCTTATACAGCTGAGCAGGTGGTCTTTGGCTTCTCTGGGTGGGTGTGTCATAAGTTATACAAGCCTGCGATAATGAGCAAAAATAAATTGAAGCAGTAAAGAGTGGGAGGCTAGCAGGTAGAAATAGATGGGATTACAAAGGAGAATATAAGATTGAGAAGATATTAATTTCCTGGGAAGAATGCTCAACACTGAGTACTTACGAATTCCTTGGATGAAGTATTAGTGGAAAAACCCTAAGGTGGAAGAAGAGGATGAGCAACAGGAAGGAAATAAACCAGACTGAACAGATGAGAAATGAAAAAAACAAAAAGAAAATAGAAGTGTACCATTTTTATTTTAAGGTGTACGATAAAGAAGATATCTGTTATACAATGACAGTTTAGGAAGTGAAGTAGGGGGCTGGAGATTTTAGCATTTTCAAAATGTAACAAACGTTTGAGAATGTTACAAAGGTTTGGGTTTTTATTTTTGCTTACATTTTGTGTTCCAGTTTGAAATTGTTTAACAACAACAACAACAACGATTCTACAATGAATTCATACAGGAAAGATGCATATGTTGGGTGACCTTGGGCCTGTCACTCTTCCTCTGCTTAACCTAACTCACGGTATTGTTAGGATAAAATGAAGGAGAGAAACACGTTCTCATCTTGAGCTCCTGGGGGAGGGGAACGGTGGGGTATATGTGCAATAAATTAGAGTTTATGAGAATTTCATTTTTTGTCGGGTTAAACATTTATCCATGTGTGCATATTATGTCACCCTTTTAACATTTAGAAACCCATGTTGGCAATTATCATCAACCACAAAGTGCCAAATGACTTAATTATGGATGTCACCTTTGTACCATTTAGAAGTCCATGTTGGCAATTATCTTCCATCACAAAATGTGCCATTTATTAATAACCTGGTACTGTATATAGCGACAGGCGACATACTGCAATTAGAGTGCAGCATCTAATCCTCAGTAAAGGGTTGGGTGCCTGTTAACTGATTTAGCTGAAGGAACCTTTAGCAGCAAGTCATGCTGTCTGCCAAAGTACCTTGCGGTTCACTGAATGTCTCTTACCCAGGTCACATCTCGCTGTCCCCTTTCACATTAAAATAAACTATTCCTATTATCCCGAGTTTGTTCTACAGATGACTTTCAGAAACAAGTAAATAAGAAAGAAAATAGGTGAGCTGGAAAACATGCAGTGCTGTGGTCCCAGATGACATTTTTTAAAAAAAAGAATAAAAAATAAACATTAGTTCTGTCAATAGTTCAAAGTGTAATTCAGTCCTAGCCTCCCAGCTTCAAGGCAGGTTCCAAAAAGTTTCATTATCTCCCCAAAGCGCTACCTTTCGCATTTAGTTTAAAGATGTTTAAACTTTACAGAAGGGCTGTTCCTTTGAGCAGTGTCACAAATATCTGTGTAGAAGTGCATGTGAATCTGAGCTGTTCAAATGCTAAATCACAGGATATCGACACAGCCCTGTTTAGGATATTTAGTGGCACATGGAAAAGAAAAAGCAGTTGCGCCATTTTAAATCCCATGAGAACCTGAGGAGCTTAGGAGTCATGGGAGCATCAATATTTGATACCGAGAAGAACATAATGTGTCTTTATTCTCTTCGTCAAAGTATTTCATTGGGACCAAGGTGGTACTTTACAGAAAGGAGAACACTGCTGAAGGTAAATAGGGTTCCCAATTCTTACATACTTTCATTTATTTCCCTTTGCTGCTGTTATTGCTTTGCAAACCTTTAAGAATTTATTTCTACCTGGCAAGCTATTCATATCCTTTGGCACACTTTTGATATTACCTGTTTAGAACAGTGTACTTTCAGGTAATTTTGAAAGATAGAAAAAACATATGGTTGGGAGCACAAAGTTAGAGAAGCACTTACATTTGCACTGTGATCACTTCCACTAACACAGATGACATCTTGTTTTTGAATTGTTAGTACCTCTTTTGTAAGCTTCAGTCGGATTTCATAGGCGTTTTCGGATATTTCGTCATATAGCAATGCAATACCAGTTTTTGTCTGTAGAGGCAAGGTAATGGGGGGGAGGGAGGAGAAAAACAGATCAAAGATGTCAAATGCATAGCCTTTAAAAATAGCAATGATATATAATTTGTATCTTCTGTGTCCTAATAACAGTTTATCTCACCTATGCTTGCAAAGCTGTGTGGTAAAAGGTAGTAAGGAGACACTTTAGCAGAAAATATTCAAGTTACATTCTATATCAATATTCATGAACTGCTTAATCCTATCATCTTCTTTAGCTCTTGCATACCAGCAAAGTCTTGCAGTGTGAGCTAATGAAGGCTTTTCCTGCACCACAAGTATTTGGCAGACATGTCTCGTTCTCCCAAACTCGCCTCTAAGAAAAGTCATCAAATTCCTCTGCAAAACAACACTGCTGGTGTAGCATTGTGCCAATGCTACACGAACAAAGTCACTTTCTACAGACTCTGGGGTTGCGGTGCTCATCTCGCTTTACTGGCCGAGGGAACCGGCGTACAGCTTCTGGGTCATGTGGCCAGCATGACTAAGCCGCTTCTGGCGGATCAGAGCAGCGCACGGAAACGCTGTTTACCTTCCTGCTGGATTTATCTACTTGCACTTTGACGTGCTTTCGAACTGCTAGGTTGGCAGGAGAAGGTACCGAGCAATGGGAGCTCAGTCTTTAGAGATGAACAAAAAGTTTATGCAAGTCTCCCCCTCCTTGTGCTCTCTTAAAATATCCACTGTGAAAAGTGATAAAATGCTAGTTGGTGCTTCTGATGGAAATAGGCATAAAACACACACAACTACTTATCTAGCCACAAACTGCAGCAAAATGCAAACCAGGAGTAGATTGGTATCTAAGCATTAAAAAGAAATATCACAAGACTGCTAAAAGGAAAGTCATTCATTGATACTATGCATAGATTCACTCAGTGATGGGTGAAGGGCCATAGTTTAGTGGTCTAAGCTTAGTGGCTTAAGCCTTGCAAGCAGAAGCCCCAGATTCAAATCCTGCTGGCACCTCCCAGTAGGGATGGGAGAGATTCTTGCTTGAAATCCTGGAACATAATGTAGATCTTTTCAAATCTTACACATTTGAATGAAATGATTATCTTACTGTATAATCTGCCAGCATTCTCAAAAACCAAAACCAAAACCCCCAAAACAGAGCCGGCCACATCTTAGAAGCAACTAAACAGTCATCCAATATGGGAGAGAAACTGACTGAATGCATCTTCCAAGAAATTATTCAAGTCTTCCATCTTCAATAATGTTGAACAAAGTTTAATTTGGACCATTTGCTTAAGCTTACTTAGATCTACAGCATTAAGTTAAAAAAAAAGACTTCCTGTTTTTGTTCCGTATTTGCATTAATTTAAAAATACAGTGGTACCTCGGGTTACATACGCTTCAGGTTACATACGCTTCAGGTTACACACTCTGCTAACCTAGATATAGTGCTTCAGGTTAAGAACTTTGCTTCAGGATAAGAACAGAAATCGGGCTCCGGCGGCGCAGCAGCAGCAGGAGGCCCCATTAGCTAAAGTGGTGCTTCAGGTTAAGAACAGTTTCAGGTTAAGAATGGACCTCCGGAACGAATTAAGTACTTAACCTGAGGTACCACTGTATTTATAAGCAATAAGCCTAAACAATAAATGTCATTCGCATATGAGTTACATTATGCAATAGGGTTTTTAAAAAAAAATTATGAGGCGATAAATTTTTCATAGATATCTATGTGTGGAATCCACTTCTCACTGAAGTCAATGGAAAAATTAATGGAGCTACGACTATTTAGCAGAGGACATTTTTTAACCAAACACAGACCAATATCAAGTGCTACTACTGCTTAAGAAACCCATGATCCATATAGCTATGTATTAGTACATCTATCTGTAACTTTCATTCAATTCTCAGGAACAGACATAAGCATGATAAGCACAAGTCAGCTGAGGGTCCCATGAATGAACCACTGGACACTGTGGATCAGATGTCATGCAAAAACCTTTTTTAGAAATAATCCAAAATATCAGGGCCAATGTTTCATGATGAAATGAAACTATGTTTGTTCTGTCCACTTTCAAGCTGAAGTGGAGGTTATGTATAAGTTATTTTCTGAAACACAAAACAAGGGATGAATGGGAATTTGTGATTAATGATGACACAACACTCCAAAATCTTCCACTGTATGGATCCTAATGCACCTCATTTATTACTTATATCAAGTCTCTCAACTAAAAGCCTTGTTAAAAATAGCCCTGGGTTATAACACAGGCATCTTCTGTTAATGACATTAGCCTTGGAACAGGAGTGATTAACAGCTGGTTCTCAATCTGTGTGATCTTAATCACGAGAAAGTAAGCAGTAATGGCTTGTTTAATTACTGTAAACACAGTGTGTCACCAGCTAATTAGATATGATTGATTGTTGTCAACCTCATTCTCTGCTCAAGACATCAGACACAAACATTTGAATTCAGTAATACATGTTCAGAATGAACTTTCAGAATATCCTTTTGGGTAAAAGGACAGGTATTGTGGTGGAGGAAGAGAGGACCAACACTCAACAGGATGTAGATAAATTGCTAGAACAGAGACCACGACATTCCAAATAGACTCTGAATAGGCAATGAAGTTTTAAAACAAACCAAAAAAGTCATAAAACATCTATTTTAAATTGGAAGATAATTTTGAATAGTTTAGAATTTAATGTTTACATTTTGTGCTGCAATGTTCACAAGCTTGGCTTTGCAGACAAACAGGCAAGAAGGATATAGTAACTAATAGTATTCAGATTTTAAAACTTTATTTTACTTTTTAATGGACAGCTAGCTACTTTGGAAGCACCATTGCCCATACTCAATTATTCTATTCCTATTGACCTCACTACAAACATCGTTGAGCGACATGCTTTGTTGCTAGGATGGACAATTGGCATGCTGTAGCTCCTTGTTATATTTAAGAATATCAGTACAATCCAATATTTACAGCAAATGCAGCTTCCAAGGAGTGTGCTGCAATTGTTGCTAGCACTGCAGCGGCATCGGTGGCAGCAGCCAATGAATTGCTCGGAAGCCGGATCTGCTGCCCTTGTGGACCCCGCCGCCTAAGGCAGCTGCCTCACCTTGCCTCATGGGTGAGCCGGCCTTATACAGGCCTGATCCCGCAGGCTCTTCTTATGCATCATTTGTTATTGTTTCCTGCAAAGGTTTCCAGCTTTCAGCACGTTTCCAAAAAGAACAGCTGCCTTCTAATTAAAATAAACCATAAAAAAGAATAGTTTTGACAACAGTCACCATGTTTTATGAAACATGGTTGGGATGCAACCTTCACCAACACCCTTCATGTGAGCTGAAAACACTTCCATGGAAGGGGGGGGGAGATACCAGATGTCCTTCTGGTGGCAATCTCTTCTCATGGGACATGCCTCAAGTTTAACTTGGTGGGGATGACCAAGTTCCACAACGTGGAACTGTTGTGACAATGGGGAATTGAGAAGCTGCATATGCAAACAGAAAACTGCATGCAATTATTTGGATTCCAGCTATCTCCCAACCTTTGTATTTAACTTGGCTGGTTGCCACAGGCAACAAGGGATTCTATGCAAGTGAGTGAGTGGGTTGGTAGAGGAGGGGCAGAGCAATGAGTCGCTCTGCCATGAGTGCCCTCTGTTTCCATTGTCCACAGCCAGCATGGGAGGGACGGATCATTCCATACCTCTCCCATCAGTCTGCTTGGTTTCCATGCTGGTCACAAAGAAATGTGTGTTCCCTGCTCTGCAGCCAAAATGAAAACGCAACAGGATGGTGGTAAATGATGAACACCATTTGGTCGAAGGCAAAATATTTTTACAAACCTGCTAAGAGGCTAGTAGGCTGCAATTTCATGCTAATAACATTGTGTGTGTATGTGTGCCCAGGCTATTTTGCGGGCTTATTTACAAGGCTGGATTAATACAGGTAGTAAAGGTATTGCTAAAATACGACTGTTGTAGAGAAATAGCCTCTTAATAATTTGTGACAAGTATGGTGTGATTAGATATCCTGAATATGAATAAATCACAGTGACGTGAAGGTTCTATTGAATTCTTCATTGAGATGAAGATTTAAAGTTTTTTTCCATGCCAGCAGCAGAGTCACCATAGAATAAATCTGATCGGTTAACAGCCCTGGAATACCCAAGCCAAGATCTGCATAGGGGAAGGGCTCTGTGGCAGAGGGTATTCTTTGCATGCAGAAGGTTCCAGTTTCAATCCCTGGCCTCTCCAGATAGGGCTGGAAGAGAACCCTATCTGAAATGCTAGATATTTTCTGCCAGTCAGTGTAGACCATACTGAGATAGCTGGACCAATGGCATGTTCCTAAAACTGTTCTCACTTCTGCAGCACATAAACACACACCCTTCATGATCTTTGGCATGGCAATCTCTCTGCCTTCGTTCCTTATCTGCACAAATGCCACAGGGATGCCCCCTTTCTTAGCACTGAGATTGGGTGAGAAAATAAATAAATAGAGCAGCGCAGCCTGGTTCTGTACACCAGGTGCCATTAAGGAAATGGTTTTAAATCTTCCAGAAATCACAAAGGTAAACAGGAGTTGAAAGCATTTAGAAGTCCAAGGCTGCAAAAGTAGGTGCCCTTGAAAACTTATTATGTAAACAAGAAACCTATTGGGAGAGGATTATAGGAAAGTCAGGCCAGTAATTCCTAAGGGGCGGGGGGAAGCAACGTGAAGACATGCTAGATAAGAGATTACAGTATGTCAATACAAAAATACACAGAACTATACGGCATAAAGACAGCTCATCCATATATATGGCACGATTCATTGACTGCAAGAAGAGTATATTTGCTATACATGAGCTTCTGAGAATTAATTTCCAGAATGAGCTTTCCTTCTGGAAGTATACAACCAATGTTATTTACACAGTAAATATTTTAAAAAGCAAACTTATGTTGTCAAAATATCATGCTGTTTCCTTATATGGCTGTGACATGACAAAAATATGACTTAAAAAGTCATTGGCCTCAGTGTTATTGTTATCTTTTCAATTGAAAGTGAACAGAAAGGGTTTCTTCTAGAAGATTTCTCCCAAAACAGTATACTGAAAGTTTAGTCCAGTTATTATTCTTTCTGGGAATGTGCTTTAGGATGTGAACACCTGCAAACAGGGCTTCAAAGAGCTTCATCAGCCATGATGACTTGTAAGTATAATTTTATGCCAAGGGGCACAGACCAGTGGTGGGTGGGGTCAGGTGCAAAAACGAAAAGACTAATGGAAAGACAAATGGATTTGACACTATAGAGGTCAGAGATTTCTACATACCTCTTCCAGGCAAGCAAGAGGCATTATCAGATTTCAAGGACACATTTCAGCCAAGCAAAGGCACACAAGGGGAGGCATGGGGGCCAGGGAGAAGCCTGAGGACCAAAATAGGTAAGTCTTTGTTTCTTGGGTCCTCAATTCCCTCCCCCCGTGCTCTGGAAATTGGTGGAGTCTACTTTCCTAGTTTTTGTTCAATATAAATCTTTATAACTCAAAATAATATTGCTAAGGTATTAAAACTGAAGGTAGCAATGTTGACCCATTAGAAAAAGGAATAATTGAAAAACGTTAACGTAAACTTCATTAGAACCAACTTAAATGTTACATAGCCGTGAGCACGTGTTTAAATTTTCCAGAACGCTTCTCAGGGTGGATGCTAAGAAGAAAGTAAGGAGACCTAGCCTCAAACATGGAAATTCTGCTTGCACATGAAAAGATGAAAAGTCATGTGCTCATGGAAAAAACAGACAAAGCAACTTATTGCATTGCTCCCCTAACAAGCTTGAGGTCTGAGAAGAAACCGTAAGCAAATTTGGAAGGTAAAAAGATGCTTCCTCTCAGGCTTCTCCAACTTTTTTGAGGTTCTTGCCAGGAGCAAGTACAAAGCATCTAATAGATAATTCAACAATTAATTTGCTTGTTTTGCATAATTAGCAAACAATATGCATGGTACACAAACTAGGCTTCCATGGTTTAGGGAAATGTGGCAACCATAGGACAGGGATTTCGTCTCCTTTCCAGGTGCCTCCCAGTTGACACTCCACCTGGGAAAAAGGCAAGAAGGAACAGACAAATGTAAAACTAGAATTACCCGCCAATTCTGTTTTATTTTTTAAATGAAAACACACTCCTTTCTCTCTCAGTGGGTTGGCTGGCTCAGTACAGTTTGGCCTCAAAAAGAGGAGTAAAGCAGCTCTTCAGGAACCCACAATCTTGCATAGTCTTAGTAGGTTTGGCTTAACGTGTCATATGAACTTGTTTGTTGTTGTTTAGTCGTTTAGTCGTGTCCGACTCTTCGTGACCCCATGGACCAGAGCACGCCAGGCACTCCTGTCTTCCGCTGCCTCCCACAGTTTGGTCAGACTCATGTTTGTAGCTTCGAGAACACCATCTTGTCCAACCATCTTGTCCTCTGTCATCCCCTTCTCCTTGTGCCCTCCATCTTTCCCAACATCAGGGTCTTTTCCAGGGAGTCTTCTCTTCTCATGGGTGGCCAAAGTACTGGAGCCTCAGCTTCACGATCTGTCCTTCCAGTGAGCACTCAGGGCTAATTTTCTTAAGAATGGATGCATTTGATCTTCTTGCAGACCATGGAACTCTCAAGAGTCTCCTCCAGCACCATAATTCAAAAGCATCAATTCTTCAGCGATCAGCCTTCTTTATGGTCCAGCTCTCACTTCCATACATCACTACCGGGAAAACCATGGCTTTAACTATTTGGACCTTTGTTGGCAAGGTGATGTCTCTGCTTTTAAGATGCTGTCTAGGTTTGCCATCGCCTTTCTCCCAAGGAGCAGGCGTCTTTTAATTTCGTGACTGCTGTCACCATCTGCAGTGATCATGGAGCCCAAGAAAGTAAAATCTCTCACTGCCTCCATTTCTTCCCCTTCTATTTGCCAGGAGGTGATGGGCCCAGTGGCCATGATCTTCGCTTTTTTGATGTTGAGCTTCAGACCATATTTTGCACTCTCCTCTTTCACCCTCACTAAAAGGTTCTTTAATTCCTCCTCACTTTCTGCCATCAAGGTTGTGTCATCTGCATATCTGAGGTTGTTGATATTTCTTCTGGCGATCTTAATTCTGGCTTGGGATTCATCCAGCCCAGCTTTCGCATGATGAATTCTGCATATAAGTTAAATAAGCAGGGAGACAATATACAGCCTTGCCGTACTCCTTTCCCAATTTTGAACCAATCAGTTGTTCTATATCCAGTTCTAACTGTAGCTTCTTGTCCCACACAGAGATTTCTCAGGAGACAGATGAGGTGATCAGGCACTCCCATTTCTTTAAGAACTTGCCATAGTTTGCTGTGGTCGACACAGTCAAAGGCTTTTGCATAGTCAATGAAGCAGAAGTAGATGTCTTTCTGGAACTCTCTAGCTTTCTCCATAATCCAGCGCATGTTTGCAATTTGGTCTCTGGTTCCTCTGCCTTTTCTAAATCCAGCTTGCACTTCTGGGAGTTCTCGGTCCACATACTGCTTGAGCCTTCCTTGTAGAATTTTAAGCATAACCTTGCTAGCGTGTGAAATGAGTGCAATTGTGCGGTAGTTAGAGCATTCTTTGGCACTGCCCTTCTTTGGGATTGGGATGTAGACTGATCTTCTCCAATCCTCTGGTCACTGTTGAGTTTTCCAAATTTGCTGGCATATTGAGTGTAGCACCTTAACAGCATCATCGTTTAAAATTTTAAATAGCTCAGCTGGAATATCATCACTTCCACTGGCCTTGTTATTAGGAGTGCTTTCTAAGGCCCATTTGACTTCACTCTCCAAGATGTCTGGCTCAAGGTCAGCAACCACACTACCTGGGGTGTACAAGACATCCATTTCTTTCTGGTATAATTCCTCTGTGTATTCTTGCCACCTCTTCTTGATGTCTTCTGCTTCTGTTAGGTCCTTGTTAGTATTTTTTAAAAAATATATTATTATTTACATTTACATTCCTTGTTTCCTCCGTCCAACAAAATAATTCCATATTTCAGCAAAATCAACATTCCATAACCTTCCTTCTCTTTTATAAACTAATTCAGTTCACTTTCCCCTTTCCGTCAATTTCATGTATTTTATTAACCACTCCCACTCTCTGGAGCTTGTTCATGGTCCATACTAGCTTAGCAGCTACATAGTAGCTTCAGATTCCTAACCACTTCACCCTCAATTATATTAAACAGAATCAACACTGGGGAAGGTCTCAATGTGGTTTGTATATCAGCAACAGCCTATGTACGTTTTGCCCCTAATCACTAGTTGTAATTGGGCATTCCAACCACACATGCAACAATATGTGTTTCCTGCTACGCATTACCAGCATTTAAATCAATTTACAAAAAAAGATTACATTTATTCTTGCAGGTCTTAAGTACCATCTCAATAGTAATTTATTTTATGCTTCCCTAATTAATAAGCTTTGTGAATACCTTTCCACCCAGCTCCTAGTATTTTCCCACTGTTGATCTGAAATAGGTAATGGTAAAGGGCCCCTGACCGTTAAGTCCGGTCACAGATGACTCTGCAGTTGTGGCGCTCATCTCGCTTTACTGGCCGAGGGAGCCAACGTTTGTCCGCAGACAGTTTTTCCAGGTCATGTGGCCAGCATGACTAAGCCGCTTCTGGTGAACCAGAGCAATGCACGGAAACGCTGTTTACCTTCCCGTCGGAGTGGTACCTATTTATCTACTTGCACTTGACGTGCTTTCGAACTGCTAGGTTGGCAGGAGCAGGGACCAAGCAATGGGAGCTCACCCCGTCACGGCGATTCGAACCGCCGACCTTCTGATCGGCAAGCCCTAGGCTCTGTGATTTAGACCACAGTGCCATAGCCCACCCCATATCTCTTTCCCATTAATTCAGTTTTACTTCCCCATATGCATCAGTTTATTACAATTTAGCTCAGTTGGTAAAGCATGACTCTTTTAATCCCAGGGTTGTGGGTTTGAGCCCCACACTGGGCAAAAGGATTCCTGCATTACAGTGGATTGGACTAGATGATCCTTGTGGACCCTAACAACTCTGCATTTCTATGATTCTATGAATTTTCTGATAGAATCCCCTTTGTTTAGCTTATTATTATATTCCCCCAAGTTGCCTCTTGTCTAAATATAAATTTTGGAACCAATATTTCCTACAAGAAATGTATCGTTTTGAAACCCTAGTTTAGCTGAGCACAGTACATCAACTTTCTTGCACTCTCACTAGGCTTGGCTTAGCAGGTTGTGAAAACCAGGGCAATCGATATCAAGCAAATGAAAAAAGAAAATCAGTCATAGAGATACTGTTGAGGCAAAATAAACCCAGAAGCCAATTCCCAGTCCGTCTGGGAAAATAGTACAGTACTTGAGACACTGTCGGGCTTATGACATAATACACAGTTGCTTACCTATCCTTGAACTGTGCTCTCTTGGCAACAGTGGAAGAATTGACAAAACCTTCTGCCAAATCTTTTATAAATAACATGCAGAGAGAAAATGTAGGTGTTGGTTAAATGTCCTCTACAGATAAAAATCAACTTTCATTTCACAAGTCAGTGATGTAGTGGTAAATGTTGATGTGCAGGGGCTTATCAAGGCAACATCCACAGCCATGCCCTGCAGGCAGCTGTATGGATACATTATCATGCACACCAAAATAACAGAAGTGCATAGCATAATACCCAATGTATTAGAATCAGCATGACTGCAATATTATACATGCTTCTCTGGGAGTAAGCTCCACTGAATTCTGACTGCACATTCAGTTTGTAAAACACATTGGGTTTTTAACAAGCGAACTTCAGCCAGCCAAAAGAAGAAGAGAAGAGTTTGGATTTGATATCCTGCTTTATCACCACCCTAAGGAGTCTCAAAGCGGCTAACAATCTCCTTACCCTTCTTCCCCCACAACAAACAGGTGAGTGAGGCTGTCTCTGAAGTGTGACTAGCCCAAGGTCACCCAGCAGCTGCATGTGGAGGAGCGGGGAATCGAACCCAGTTCACCAGATTACGAGTCCACTGCTCTTACCCACTACACCACACTGGATAAAAGTTTAACAGAAAAGGGGTTTAGAAATTAATAATAATAATAATAATAATTAATAATTTTATTATTTATACCCTGCCCATCTGGCTGCGTTTTCCCAGCCACTCTGGGCAGCTACATACAATATGATGTGCGAAGACGAAAGGGTTAAAGAGAGACCACTGAGCGAAATGCTTTCAGCTTCGTTTGCATTTAGAATTAAATTTTGCAACAGAAGTGTTGTCATTTAAACTGCTAGCTTGAAGCAGGAATAACATAAAATGGGGGTGGCTAACCCGGAGGGTGGATCCATTGTGGCAAGACAAAGAAACTGCTCCCTTGCCCCCAACTTTGAGCTTTATCTCCTGATTTCAGTGCTGTGGTGCTCGGCACTGAAATCCCTCTGCAATAAAATCTTTTTGGAGAGCGAGCAGGCAGAGGGCTTCTTTTATTTCCCAAACTCATGTTGTGGTTCTAAGTGCCACAGCACTGAGTTCAGGAGATAAAGCCCAATGAAAAGTAAAAGGCAGCATTTCCTCCCACCTCAGAGCTGTAGGGGACACTGTGTTTTCTTCCTCACAAAAAGAGCTCTGAAGTGTAAATGGCAGTGTTTTCAGTCCTCTTTGGCTCCACCCCTAGCACTGTGTTGGGGATGACTTTATAAGAACTCTCATTCTGCCTTGGAAGGGAGAAAGAATGATCTCTTGATCTCTCTCTATTTTTATACTGCTCTTCATAAGCCATCTTGAGGTAGTTCACAACAACAACACATTAAAACAATAGATCCTGCAGCATCCACAAAGTCAAGGCCAAAATTAACTGAAAAGAGATGTAACAACAGGTTGGTATCAAGTCCCAGCAGAGGCTTTGGAAAGCAAATACGTGTTTAGTAAGTGCTAGAACATCATCAGTGTCAGGGTCCACCTAATAATAATAATAATAATAATAATAATAATAATAATTTATTATTTATACCCCACCCATCTGGCTGGGTTTCCCCAGCCACTCTGGGCGGCTTCCAACAGAACACTAAAATGCAATAACCTATTAAACATTAAAAGCTTCCCTAAACAGGGCTGCCTTCAGATGTCTTCTAAAAGTCTGGTAGTTGTTTTTCTCTTGGACATCTGGTGGGAGGGCGTTCCACAGGGCGGATGCCACTACCGAGAAGGCCCTCTGCCTGGTTCCCTGTAACTTGGCTTCTCGCAACGAGGGAACCGGCAGAAGACCCTCGGCGCTGGACCTCAGTGTCCGGGCAGAACAATGGGGGTGGAGACGCTCCTTCAGGTATACTTATAGCAAAAGGGAGACTTTTCCACAGAGTTGGCACTGCAATCAAAAACATCCTCCTTCTGATCATGAGCACAGCCAGGAGGGCCTCTGTAGAAGATCTTCATGGCAGGGATGTGTGTGCAAGTAAGCAAGTAAGTAGGTGTGTGAACATAAATGGATGGACTGGCTACGTGGCACTCAGAAGTGTGGCTGAATGCCACTCCAGCCCTTGGGCCCCAAAAAATGTCCTAAAAGAATGGGGAAGAAATACCCAGCCTTTGCTTGATTATCTTCCTCCTTCTCTGACTCCTTGTATGCTAATCCGTCGCAAACAGGCATTAAGTCTTCCTAATCATATCTGAGCAATGAGGGTCAGGAAATTACCTTCGTGTCACTCCTCCTTTGAAAAAAAAAAGTCCTGGATCTGCTGTGTTTCCCCTTGGAACATCAATTCCATTGCAGCATATGCTCTGCATGCAAAAAGTTCCAAGTTTCAATCCCTTCTGTCTTCAGGTAAGGTTGGGAAAGAAAGACTAATGTTCAGAACCCTGGACAGCAGCTGCTAGTCAATGCTGAGCTAGATGGACATTGTCTAAGTTGATATATGGTGGCTTCCTATGTTTTTAGCATATGGACCATTTAGGTTACCGTCGTGCAGGCCATGTTCGTAAGAGTAAGTGCAATGCAGCTCACTGGGACTTAAGACTTCTGCACAGAATTACACTGACGGTTCCCCTAATTTTAGAACTGCATGGAAAGTGATCTACTATGATGTCATGACTGAAAGGCAAACTAAAAGGTTTGTTTTGTTTAATTTATTTACCACCTTCTAGCTTAAGAGAAAGCCAACAAAAGCCAAGAATTATGAGAAGCGAACATCTGCATGTTGCATAGTAAGGAATTATGTAAAAGAGAATGCATCCAATCAATCAGCAACTATATTTGTTCACTCTACACCCAATTTTATAAGTACAGTGATTGCAGAATTATGCCTTTAATGCATGATTTAATCATACCCGTCTATTTGTAAAGTGGAATTCATTTAAGCCTCTCTTAGAATTCTTGAAGAGACCTTGAAAATGAATAAGAATATTATTATATACATTTTGTTGACAAGTGGGCTCATTAAAAAAAGTATACAGCCACCTAAGCATAGAGCAAGGGAATAAGAAGATAACCACAAATTTCTAAACCCACCATGGTTAGCATTTTTAGACTATTTCTTCAATATAGTGTGGCAACTTTACTAAAAATCAGATTCTGAGTAACTTGACAAGTGTCTCTTTCAATAAAAAGCCTTTTACAATGTGTATTACTTGTCAAAAGTGCCAACAGTACAGATGAGAATGCAGAAGGTGAATGTGATGCAGATGGAATGTTTAATTTTCCAGTTTAAAACTTTTTTAAAAAAATGATTTAGACAGAGAACACAGGTGAAAACTGATTGCCAGAAAACCATAGTATTTGCTAGGTATGACAAGAACAGAAATAGCCATACCATTTTGTTCAGAATCTGTTATTTTATATTTGACTCCCTTTAATAGATTATTAGCATGGCAGGTCAGCCTTTGAGGTCTTTTTAGAGCAAGTGTGTGGGAAAACATCTGACCCTCCAGATGTTGCTGAACTCCAAATCCCATGAGCACCAGTATGCATGGTCGATGACCAGGGATAATGGGAGTTGTAGTTCAGTTGGCAGAGCATTTGACTCTTAATCTCAGGGTCATGGATTTGATCCTCACGTTGGGTGAAAGATTATTGCATTGCAGGGGGCTGGACTAGAAGACCCTTATTGTCTCTTCCAATTCTACAATTCTATGACTGCATGTGCAAAGCACCAAGTCGTCACTCATCAACTTATGAAGAAACCTAGCATGTCCAGTATAAACCTATGGCAAATTATTTCCCCCAAGACCCTAGTTTTTCAGGTCCAGGGAATGTTTGTTATAGAGGAGTAATGCTCACTTAGTATCAGCCAGAATTATTTGATCAGTCACCATGAAAGGCAGTAGGACCACTTATGATGCAGCTACTTTGTCAGTCAAGATGTGAGCTGGCTAGCAACTACATGGGACAGTTCCTTGGAAGACCTATTTGCTCAGAAGGGTTGCAGAATCTACCCAGAAAGGTGTCACCATATTTGTTCTAGGAACATGGAAGTGAGCATCCGGGCTTATAGGAAAGGAAAGGGAACCAAGCTGAGTTGAACCCTTCTTGTGGAAGAAGGACCTGTTTAGATGTGGAAAGTGAGACTGGTATCATGAGACTGGGAAGGCAAGTGGTTAGTTCATCTGGTGGATAGAAGAGCACTCATAAGCGTAGAGTGGTCCTTGGAGTGGGGTTGCTGTCTAGGGTCGTGAAAGTAGGTTATACCCAGCAGAGCTGTTGATTGCTAATAAGGATAGCTATTTCACACACCCTGTCAGTCAGTGACATTAGGCAGAGTGAGGAAGCTGCCTCAGGAAGCAGGTCTGGGGGCAGGGGCGTTGGAAGTGTTGGAAAGATGGTGTTGTTAATTGCTGGTTCACTCTGCTCTTCATTCACCTCTAACGTTGCAAATGGTCTCTATGATTTTTTGCACATAAAATGCATTCTCTGTTTATTTTAAGGTATAACTATTTAAGTTAAGGCAGAGAGGGGTCATCCTGGAGTAAAATCTGCACAAGAAAACCCCTTTCAAATTGTCTCC